TTACCTCTCATTCGTTCCCTTCTTCTAGATTCTTTCCAGCTATAACCAATATCGTTAAGTTTAAGCCACATAACCAAATGGAATTTCTCATGGTCTAAGCTATCGGCTTTTAGGACAAACAACTTTCCAATTCTTCTATAACAAACTAATAAAAGCTACTTCAGCATGATTGCACAAAATATCAACTAAAATAACAAATGAAATATCACATATCAGACATCAATGGTGTGCACTCTCTCTACTATATCAAGCTCATAATAACCTTGAGAAAGGAACTCGTTGAACCTTCATCAGCCGGAAGTTTCGACAAAATGAGCTTCATCGTAAGATTATATCCATCCTTCGGAGGATCAAGAATCTGTATCAGCGCTCCATAGACCACCTTCACCGCCTCTAAAGCCCCAACAGGCAAACCTTCAATGAACACCGTTTCTGGCGGTGGAGTTGGCAATGACACTGACACCAGAGCCACATCCGGTTTTTTCATAGAGAACTACAACAATGATAACATAAGTTATTAGATTTAGGGTGACTTTAAGAAAACCCCAGCCGAACTGATTTGCGCCAAATGACCGTGAACTTTTAAATTAGAGACCCCCTCACCCCACCCCACCCCAACCCAACCCAATAAAAAAACCGCTAAAAATAGAATTTGAGGAGTTTCACAAAACACCCTGAACTTCTGAAAAGTTGCACCAAAATCACAAATTTTCAGAACATAGCCTCCTTCTCTCAATAAGACTGTAAAACAAAACAGAACTCACTTCTTAATTTCGTTCTGGTTTTGCCTTCAAAAAATATTTCCTCCTAGTTTCCCACTTATTCTCTCTGCCCAGAGTTCAGGGAGTTTTGTGATAACTTCCAAAAAATTAGTGAGGGTCTCTCTAAATTTTAAAGTCCATGTTTACAAGTCAGACGGGAGCTCAAGCGCTTTTATGAAATTTAGCGTTATGATCTTTTACCTGAATGTGATACCGAACATCATCGAACTCAACGGCCTGGCAATCGAGGTCAATGCCCTTCTCTGTGCTACTGTTGAAATCAAAACCCAAAAAATTTGAGCTCATTACCATCATCAAAACCCTAAAATTGAAACCCTAGAATTGAGGGGAGAGAACTCACTTGAGCACGCGATTCTGCAGAGTTTGGAGGACGAATCGTGATGGAGACTGGAGAAGTATCATCTCGACTGAGATTGAGGAGATCTCGCTGTTGAAATGCGACTGGGGATTTTTAGCTCTATTGAGAGAGGCAGAGAGAGGGATCGCGCTTTGCTTGATTCTGACGGGAAAGAGAAAAGACGTTGCTTTTTTTGCGTATACGCCCCTGAAGTTTGTGCATTTTGCATGTCCTTGGGAAGCTTGCTGCCATGTAGATGCGGCGCTTCGCGCATTAACCATGCGGGCCCGGGTCAAGTAGTATTTGCAGTAGACACGGCTCTTAATAAAACTTCAAAAAAAAAAAAAAACCCTAGATTGGGTTCCTGCTTGCCCCAATAACGGTGAATGAACCCACTCACAACTGTGACTAGACTTGGCCAAAAAGTATAAGGAAAATGATAGGGGCGCACCTCCAACCACACCTTTAACCATATTCTCTCTCATTTGCTACAATGCACCGGGCCTCACATGGGATTTTTAAAATTTTAAAATCTCATGTGGGGCCCAGTGCACTGTGGCAAATGAGAGAAAGTGTGTGGTTGGAGGTGTGATTGGGTGTGTGCCCTTAGTGCCACTCAAAGTATAAACCATTTCATCCATACCCTATAAAAAAACTAATTGCCATAAAAAATGTTAGTTATAAATGGAGAAGTACTATTAAATATCTCATCTGGAGCGCGTAATAGAACATTCAAATTAGCAGGAGCATCCGCATGCAAATTGTCCTCTCGATAAATGTGAGCTAACTTGCAATCCCAATAACGATTAAGGGGGTGTTTGTTTTGCATCCCAAAATTTATGGATATGGATTTCACCATAGAATTTGAAATCCATAAAAATCTTTACATGTTTTGGGATCTCTAAAATTTTGTTTGTTTCATCAATATTTTGGGATTTGGAATACCAAAATTTGTAATATTTTGTTTGTTTCATCAATATTTTAGGATTTGGAATACCAAAATTTGTAATATTTTGTTTGTTTCATCAATATTTTGGGATTTGAAATACTATAAATTATATATTATAATATTATATAATATTTTAATAACATATATTATTATAATATTATATAATATTTTGGGATTTGGAATACTACAGCATGAACAGTGATTATTGGGTCCTTCTATATATATTATATATTATATATATAATATTATATATTATATATATATTATATTATAGTATAATATTAATATGTATAATCATATATATATTATTATGTAAATATATTATATATGTAATGTAATATAATTATATATATGCTACAGTAATTTACTACAGCATGAACAATGCTTATGGGTCCTAATATTATATATATATATAATATATAGTTAATATATTATATATATATATATATAATAATAACTATTATATATATGATATTATATATATATTATATAAATATTATATATAATATATTATATATTATATATTATATATATAATATAATATAATATTATATATAGATATATGTAATATATAGTATATAATGTTATAGTAATTTTACTAAGCATGAACAGCTGAGTATATATATATAATTAATAATATTATATATTATATATTAATATAATATATTATATATATTATATTTACACAGTATAATATTATATATATATATTTATTATATATATATAATAATATATCTAGTATATAGTAATATTTAACGATATATATATATAATATATAATATATATAATTATTGATATATAGTATAATATAATATATATATATTTATAATATATTGACATAATATTATATTATTATTTATAATATAGTATATGAGATATATATATAATATATTGTTACTCATATAAGTTATTATTTTATTATATAATAGTATATAATATAATATGATATATTATATATGATTATATTTAATATATATATGACATTTAATATTATATATATAATATTTATTTATATTTATCAGAATAATATATACTAATCATATATAATATGAGGTTAATATTATAACATATAAATTATAATATATATATTATAATATACTTATATGATATATAATATAATTATATTATAAATATATATATAATGATAATTATTATATATATAATATTATATATATTACATATAAATTTATATAAATTTTAATATATGATATAATAAATCAATATATAGAGGAATAGATAATTTTAACGGTAGAGGAATAGATGTATTAATCTACACGTTCTTAAACCCAAACACACCAATTTTTTGGTGAACCCGTTGTGTTTTGACTATTCGTTGAGCCGTGCAAAAAGTTCTATTCATTCGAAACCGTTAAAATTACAGTGATTGGATAAAGGGTCAAAACACGACAGGTTCACCCCAAAATTGGTGTGTTTTGGTTTAAGAACATGTAGATCAAGTTCAACGGAGCAGATTGCAAAAAAAATAGAAAATGATGTGATTTTAGGCATTAATACATATGTTATATTATATAAAAAAATTAGATAATTTTAACGGTAGAGGAATAGATGTATTAATCGCAAAAAAATTAGAAATCAATATAATTACAGCGATTAATTAAAGGGTCAAAACACGACGGGTCCACGCCAAAATTGGTGTGTTTTGGTTTAAGAACATGTAGATCAAGTTCAACGGAGCAGATCGCAAAAAAAAATTAGAAAATGATATGATTTTAGGCATTAATACATATGTTATATTATATAATTATAGAGGAATAGATGTATTAATCTTATAGTAATCTTATATTATAAGCATTAATACATCAATATCCAACCTACATCCTCTCTCAATTGTAGGATTTCACAAATTCTAAAATATAATAGTTTTTTATTATTTGGGGATTCAATATCCCAAAATTGGTTTTGAAACAAACATTGTTTATGGAATTCTGAAACCCAAAAAACTTGTAATCCACCTTATATCCCAAAAAAAGGTTGAAACAAAAGAGAGGATTTCACAAATCCTAAATATATATTATTTGTTTATAATTTAGGGATTCAATATCCAAAAATTAATTTTGAAACAAACAAAGTTTATGGAATCTCAAAACTCAAAAAGAACACTTTTTACATCCCAAAACTTGAAACCCACATTATATCCCAAAAAAAACCCCTAAATGGTGATCGACAATAAATAATGAAAGCACTACCAAGTACTCTGCATCAACTTCATGAATTTTCTGGATAACCACGGCTGCATCTATCTCACAAATTATCTTCCTCCAACCTTGGTTTCATCGCTTCCAATTCTTCCAGTATGTTATCTCACTGCCCAAAGTTTAGAGCAAGCAAAATTAACCTTGTCTCATATGAATTTCTCGCCAAACAACATGCTCTACGTCTCCCTGGTTTATCTTTCGATGTGCCATCTATATACTATTACTAAAAACTGTTATCATTCAAAACGTCACTTGGCAAAAACGGCACGTGGTAAATTCTTTTTTAAAAAAAAAAACTTTAAAAAAATTGATTTATAAATTGAATCCAATACATCAATTAAAGCTTGGTTCCAGTGTTTTCCCCTTTCTTCGTTTTCAAAGCTCCCCTCTTCGTATTCTCCTCCTAGGGGGTGCTTGTTTCAAATCCCAAATTTTATGGATATGGATTTCACCATAGAATTTGAAATCCATAAAATTTTTTGTGGGTTTTGGGATCTCTAAAATTTTGTTTGTTTCATTAATATTTTGGGATTTGGAATACCAAAATTTGTAATATTATGTTTGTTTCATCAATATTTTAGGATTTGGAATACTAAAATTTGTAATATTTTGTTTGTTTCATCAATATTTTGGGATTTGGAATACTATAAATTATATATTATAATATTATATAATATTTTAATAACATATATTATATAATGTATATAATATATATATATATATAGAATTGAAAACCTAGCTGAGCATTGAAAGAAAATGCGTCAAAATTGCAGAGGGTGAGCACGGATCTTACAGTCCATATGTCGGCGGGGACGATGATGATGATCGAGATGGAGCAGAACCAGGCGTACCCGACGGCGAGCAGCACGTACGTCGGCACGTGCGGCCCCGCGAAGTACCGCAGCGTGAACGTCACCATACTGAGGGTGAGCGGAAGCGAGATCAAGTAAAACACCCACATTTTCCTTTTTTTTTTCTTTTTTCTTGTTTTCCCCCCTTTCGAATTTCGCTCTCTCGCCCACCTCCTTCCCCTATGGAAGCGGGTCGGATTTGGAGAAGTTGGGATCCGATAAGAAAATGCAAGGGAAAAAGAAAACGGAGAACGGAGGGAAGGAGCGGATCGTGGAACGCGAGGCAGCGTACCGGGAGCTGCGTTTTGTCGGGCAGCGTGCGGGGAAGTGACGGTAGCGCGCGGGTTTAGGTCCGGTCTGCTGTCTCGCGGCTACCAGATGAAGAGTCAGTTGGTACCAACGGTCGGATGGATTCGACATGTACCCTTTTTTTCGTTTTTCTGTTCTTTCTTTTTTATCTTTTTAGTGCCTGTTTGGTTATTTCCTAAAAATTCAAAAAATAGAAATGAAAACCAAGAAATCTTAAAAAGTATAATTTTACACATTTTTATTTTTAAAACTCATGCATAACATCTAATAAAATATTATTTTTATCCAACAACTCATCCACCACATCTAATAAAATATTATTTTTATCCAACAACTCATCCATCACATCCATCACATCTAATAAAATATTATTTTCATCCACAACATCACTCGACTCATTTCATTTCATATTTAAAAATCACTCACATTTGCATTTAATGTGGAAATCATAATTATTTAAAAGTATTACAATAAGAAAGTTTATATTATGTATTAGAACGAAATGACCAAATATTCCTTAAAATAGTGGTGAATTCTCGTCTCCTTCCATAAAGTATCAATTTATCTATTTTCATCCTTAAACTATGTGTATGTGTCCAATACGATTATTTTGTGAGTTTATAGTTTAATATTTAATAGACTACTGATGTGCTATTTATTTATTTATTTTTTTGGTATTTTTTTATGTAGTTTAAAAAAAAATTCCATTCATAAAGAGGGTTAAAAGGTTAAAAGTTATGGGAGGAAGTAGTTAACAATTTCTTTAGATTAAGGGGGGAAGAAAAAACAACAACAACAATAAACAAATATTTATTGCAAATGTTTAAATCATATTCTTCCATTCTATTCTTTTATAGGTCATCTCCTCCGTT